CTCGGGCGGGGCGAGGCGAGGCGCCTCCCGCCGCGGGAGGGACGCGGCCCCGCCGCCTCTGTGGGCACGGGAGTATCCGGGCGAAGCCGCCTTTCCCAGCACCGCGGCAGCCGCTTCCCTCCGGAGGCTTCAACGCAAAAGTTCCGCTGTTACATGGCTCCCCGCAGGCGCGGAGGGCGCTACCCTGGGCGGGCCGCCGGTGAAGGCCACCTTGGCCCGCTCTTGTTTGGGGACTCCTCCCCAAAAGGCGCGTTAATTCTGTGGGCACGGGAGTATCCGGGCGAAGCCGCCTTTCCCAGCACCGCGGCAGCCGCTTCCCTCCGGAGGCTTCAACGCAAAAGTTCCGCTGTTACATGGCTCCCCGCAGGCGCGGAGGGCGCTACCCTGGGCGGGCCGCCGGTGAAGGCCACCTTGGCCCGCTCTTGTTTGGGGACTCCTCCCCAAAAGGCGCGTTAATCTCCACTTTCTCTCGAGAGACTTTCTCTGGAGAGACTTTCTCTCGAAGTGCCCTCAGGTCGAGGCAAAGATAACACCTGATAAGTAAGTTTGTTGGCAACGTTTCGCTAGTAAACATTGTTTCAGCCATGTTTATCCTTAAGCCTAAAGGCTGGTTTCAAGTGGTGGTCTGTGTCAAAACGCAGTTATAAAAATTAGCTTGTCAAGTAAAGATTCCAACATAATTAACTGCTAGGAATCCCACACCATTCTGATTATATGAACACCCACATTTCCAGGGTGTTCTAGGTAGTCCCCCATCAGAGGGAAATGCCTTTGTTAGGATAAAGAAATTACTTCTGAAGGACATAGGTGAAGGTCAAAACAATCATGATTCAGCTGGAACAAGGTCATTAACATAATAATTTGACCTTAGTTTGAGAGGTTCCAGGCCCTGAATCTGAAAGGTTTAGCAGTCTTTAGCAGTCACAATACTAAATCTAATACTAAATCTAATCCTAAAGCATTTAAATAAGAAAATATGTTTACAGAACAAGGAAGCAAAACATGAGAGGGATTTGATATTTTTGTGGCTAGTGCAACTTTTTAAAATGAGGAAATATTCTGTATATCTCGAGTACCTCAAGCATTTTTTTCCAGCTTCAGAAAAGCCTTTATATCACACATATGGTGACAAAATGGAAATAAAGATGACTGTACAAAGTTTGATTTGGAAAGAGGACCAGATGTTTTAACTAGTGTGAGATGGTCACCTTAATGTATTATGAGAGTCATAAAAGAATAAGTAAAAAAGCTGAGAATTAGGGCCACAGCTATTCTGGGTTATAATAAGGGTATAAGACATAGAACTACCAACCCCAAGGGTTTGTTAATGATTCAGCCATACAAAACCATAAAATCGACTTTAAAATAATGACACTAAAAAGAAGACTTTGCTTTTCTCTTAGCCTGGAATAAGAGGCTCATGCCGTGTGCCTGTTTCTCCCACAGTAACTCTGAATGCCTTTGTCAGCTGCTGTCAGGCTACTCCCAGACAAACCATCTGCCACCTGGGAAGCTACATACTGTAAGTGTCTGTAAGTCTGACTCATGTTTGCCCTGCCCACATGATAAATGAGGAAAGGGCACCTGTTGTTCCTGGCCACTCAGTACACTCCTTGACTGCTGGCATGTTAGTCCTGCTTATTTCTTCCTGTTCCCCTCGTCATTCCCCCAGTTGCCTCCCTGAACTTGTCCAAACTTGCTGGCTTCCCATCCTAGAGCTGCCTTGCAATAGGGGTTCTTAGTCAGCCCTCTAATCAAAACTATGCGCTGCCTGTCAGACTCAGGAATCCTGTGGCTTCTTGGAGTCTTGGCCTCAGTTTGGCAAATAGGACTTGTTTTACACTTCATTCCTCTCAGATCTAGCCCCTGGACACAAAAGCTTGTCATAGCTCCCTGTCATGCTTTTGCTGGCTTTCTGCCAACCATTACTCAAAGGAAACTGAGCTTCTACAGCTTTCTTTCATGACAACAGGCAAATCTGTATGCCCCAAGTAAATAAAAGCCTGCAGTCTGTACACCTGAGGATTTGCATGGAAGGGAAACCTTAAAAAATATGCCTTAACAAAGCAAAAGCTTCTATTAGTAATGAAATGCAAATCGACAAAAACCTAGGTCACTTGTTCTAAATGATCATATTTTAAGGAGCTTTGCTTTTGTATCAGGCCAAAGTGCTGGGAAGTTTTAAAGAAGCTGAGATCATAGTCTAGTGAACACAACTGTATTAGTAACTTGAGCATCAAGGAAAAATTACTGCAAAATAGTGAAGGAATTGTCAGAATAGGGTCATGATAATAAACTGGCAAGGTGACACTCCGAGAAAACGTGATGCTCTCACGTTTTACAAAAGCATTTACTGTGATTGGTAGTTATGCAAACAGTGTTCAGGACATCCATGGGGCTAGTTTTGAACTATGGCTAGCTTATGTCCGG